TATAGGAGTTTCAGTCCATAGTTGGCTGGCTCTAAGGCAGGGTGGCATGGTGGAAGGGCCTGGGTAGAGGACAGCTGCTGACCTCCTGGCATCCAGGAGGCACAGAGAGTGAAGGGAAGAGCTGGGGAGGGAAATAAGTCCTTCCAGGCCATGCCCCACACCCCACCTCCTAAGACCAAGTCAGCCATAAGCCCTGTAATCCAGTCACCTTTCAAAACCCCTGCCCGTGAGCCTGTGAGGCTTTGAGGAGACATCCAGGTGTAAATCACAGTACTGAACCCAGGGTGTGCTAGGTGAGCCCTCTCTACAGCTGAGCCACACACATCCCCAGCCCTATCCTCATTATGAAGGTGTCATCTGAGATCATGCCAGTAGCATCACCCTTTACATCTGTATTTTGGTGGGATTTTTTTCTTTCTCTTCCCCCAGGCTCAGTTCACCTTATTCCTCACTCTGTATCTTTCCAGTGGCCCCTGGGTACCAGTGAGCCAGGAGGAGGTGCAGGGCTGGGAAGGAGGCCAAAACGGTTCCCAGTCCCTGTGATGTTGCCATGCTTCTGTGTGGTAGTGAAGACATTGGCAGAATCCTAAATCTCTGCCAGGAAGAAGGCAGGCACGGTCCTGGCCAGCAGAGTGTTGTTTATTATTCCAAGTCACTGGGAATTAACTCTAAACCCCCAGCGACCTGGACTGGCCTGACACCTTCGGTGTTATCTCAACATTCCTTTCAAGGGCCGGGAAGCAGCTCAGATGGGCAGCATGGAGAGAAACCACTGGCCGTTGGTGTTGGCACCACTCCCCGCTTGAGGGCCTCCCTGCTTTGCAGGCAGCGGATCCAGCAACCCATACACCCCAGAGTGAGCTCTGCCTTTCTTTGGACCTGTCTTCTCTGCTCCATCCCTGTGCAAACTCATGATCCATGAGGCTTGCTGTGATTTTTTTCCCTCCACTGTTCCAAGCATGAGGCCAGGGCTGGGATTGGAGGAGGAAGAATTGTTTAGTTGACTAGATTGCAGAGATAAACTCATTTTTCTGTTTTTCTCCTGTGACTTCACACCATGTGTTTAACACTCCCATGGAATTCCAACACAGACTGAGCACCTTCGGTAGTTGTGGGACACTGTGCCAATATAGGGGACAGGGCCAACATATGATGAAAAATGAAGGAGAAGAATGTTAGCCAAAAGCAGTATTGAAATAGCCACCTGATTGAGGATTGAGTGATGTGAGTGTTCCTGCAGGAATCCCAGTGAGAAGTTGGAGTCTAGGCTGGTTCTGAAGGATGGGTGGTGGGGTTTAAGTGGGGACTGGGGATAGGTTGCCAGATTTAGCGAATAAAAATACATATCCTGTGTAACACTTGACAGTCATACTAAAACATTCTTCATTGTGTATCTGAAATTCAAATTTCACTGATCATCCTGTAGTTTATGCACAGTTCCTAAATGGGGAGACTTTTATGCACAAACCATGTTGCAGAGGCAGTGAGTAGGCACAGGTGGGGGATGGCAAAGGTTTGAGACAGGTGACTGGTGCACCTTTGGGCTGCCGGTGTGGCACACATCTGTGGGCACACAATACAGTCCACACTTAATCCCCCTGACAACGATAGCATCATTATTCCATAGCAGATTATCTTTGATCAAAAGAAACAAGACTGATGGCAATAGAATGTGAAAACGTGGCCCAATTTGAGAGTTTATCTTTAAGTCAAAAGTTACATACCTGTGTGGGTGGAGAACCAATAGGTTGTATACCATCCCAGATGCTTTTCATAGAGGGGCAGATGACATGCAGTTTATGAGCTCCCTGGCCTTTCTCTGCAGACAATCTGGGGGAGTCAGTTTAAATGTATGCTTTGCAGAGATTGGCCAGGCCTGGCTATAGCTTTCAAAAATCCAGGCTCAGATCTTCAAGAGTGGTTTGTCTCTGTTGTGGCTCACCTACTGTGCTTCCAAGTTCATAAGTGGAGCAGAAGCCAGGGCCTAGGTCTCTCAGTTCTCAATCCTACCATTGCTGTGGCTCCTCCACATTGTGTATTCTAAAAGTCACAGCTAAGCTAGGCACAGTGGCATGTGCACATGTTCCCCCTACTCAAGAGGCTGAGGCAAGAAGATCACTTGAGCTCGGAAGTTTGGGGCCAACCTGAGCAACCCCAGTGAGACCCCTCCTCTTTGAAACACACACACATACACCCCCATCCCCTGCTTCAAGGACAGTTCCAGGTCTCTCTTGTTTGGTGCTTTCCCACCACATCAGGGTTTGTATTTGAGAATGCCGAGTTGGAGCCCCAAGTGGAATTGGTTATTGGCGTCCATCCAAATTTGGTTCTTGACAACAGACTCTTTTGGTAAATTGATTTGTTAATTTAAAGATAAAGCTCAGCTGGGCATGGTGGTGCATGCCTGTAACTCCAGCAGTCTAGGAGACTTGAGGCAGGAGGAGCCCAGCCTGAGCAACTTTAGTGACTTAGTAAGACCATCTCAAAAAGTAAATAGGGCTGGGAAATGCAGCTCTGTGCAAAGACCCTATGTTCAATCCCCCATAACCACACACTACACACACACACACACACACACACGCACACTCACACACTCACCCACTCACCCACTCACTCGCTGCCGCCAAAAAAAGTAAAGCCAATTGGAGTTCGAGAGGTCTTGTATGGCAAAAGCTCCTTTCTTCCTCTCCACCTCTCACTTTCCTTCCTTTCTCCCACAGCCAATCAATGAACAAATAGTTTCAGTTAATATAAAGTGCTAGGAAGAAATTATGGAAATACTCTTTATCCATGGATTAACCTCTTGGGTAAGAGTGAATTCGGAGTCTTATCTACCAGATCCCATTTTCTTGTCAGCTTGACTGAAAGAAAGGGAACCAGCCAGCTTTGGACAGAACTGGGTTAAGAAGAACTGGGTCTGATTGTGTCCAGTGCCTGAAGCAGCTGGTGAATTGAAGTGTGAGGAGGGCTAGTAGTTGCCATCTGAGAGTAGCAGACAGCAAAGGGTGTGGGATCCAGAACAGGAGACCAGGGAGATGACTAAGCCCAGTGCTAATATACATGCTTTCCCTGCATGGGGCACTTTTCTGAAGATAGAATGCATTCTCTCATTTGAACCTCAAATTAACCTCAGTGGGTTTTTATTAGCACCCCTTTGCAGGTGAGGAAGTCAGGCTGTAGTAGAAAAGTAAAATGACTTGCCCAAGACTGGAAGCTCCCTTTCACAGAGTGGAATCAGGAAGTTTAGTTTAAGGAGCTCACTTAGGTAGAATGGATGACATAAGTGGAGATCCTCAGAGATGGGCTCAACGAGATAGGCAGATACAGAGGTGCTCAGGGTCATTTCTCTGGACCCATGATATCACAACTGAACCACCCTGACCCAGCTCCCTCAGGTAGAGGCTGTTAGACCTTCCTTCCTCAGCCAGGACTCCTCCCCTGATGAAGGGCTCTGTGACTATGACTGAGCAGCAGTAGGGCCAGGAGGGACTCTTTGCTATTTCCCTTTAGAAGTCAGTTATAGTCAGAGTTGAGAAGAGCAGGGGCTTTGGAGCCTTTTATCCCTGTCTTTGATTTCTGATCATATGGCCTTTGGGGAGCTTAATGACTCTAGCCCTAACCATCTAATCTGTAAAATGGGGACAATTCATACCTACTTTACAGCAGGTGTGTGTGCTTTCAAGTTAACAATGTGCTGTCTACAGAGGGCCCCTAACACAGTGCATGATCCATGACAGGCTCTTGGAAGTGGTAGCCAGTGACTGAAAATTAGCCCCCATTTATTGGTTTGCTGAGGGGAGGGCCAGTACACATGGAGAAGGTTCTGACTGAGCTTAATGGTGTGTGCATCTCCTTGGAGCTGCTCTGTGTGCAAGAGACAGATCATCTCAACAAGGCCAGAGTTTCTGTGTTCCTCCTCCAACTGTGCCTCTTGGTGCCTTCCAAGCTGAGTTCTAAAGGATGGGGTTGGGGAGGGGCTGGGTGCTCAAGATGCCTGGCTGACAGACTCTGGTGGCATGCTCTCTGTCCCTGTCTTCAGGTGCTGGTGAGGGCCTTCAGGAGGAATGCGGCCCCTCTTCGGATTGTCCTTGCCTTACAGTTTCATTTCTCTACTGGGAAGGGTTATTGGTGCTGTTGGCAGCCACCTGCCTGGTAAACTATATGATGGGGTCCCCATAAACCCAGACCATGAAGCAAGTCAGCACATGAAAATACAGCATGGAAATGACTCAAGGCCCAAGGAATCCATTTCTGGCAAGTGCTGCCATCCGTTCCTGGAATTTTTTGGTGGAAACTCATGTTTGAGGTGGAGGGAGGCACCCAGGAGCCTGCTTACAAGCAGGGACCTGGTCACAATCAGCAGCATTTATCCTGAGGTCCAGTTCTGCCTGTCCCTGACCATGAGGCTGTCTTCCTCAGTGAGGCTGCCTAGGCCGGGCTATGCTGGGGAAAAGCGATACGAAGCCACCTCCACAGCAGATAGGACTGACTGTATGAGCCAGGCTGGTAATGCTTGGCCAGGGGCCTGGAAAGTGTTGGAAACGCCACCCAGCACAGGGGAGCCTGTGGGAGTTCCCAGCGCGGATGGGTTATTCTTCTCTGAGTTCTTTGGATTCCTGTGTATTTGAAATGTTTACCTTCTTCTCAGGACTTCAACTTGTCCTTTGCCCACTCCACAGAGACCAATAGCAACCACATACGTATTTCCATTTGCTAGACCACCCTGGCGATCAGGTAATTAGAGCTGCACACAGGTTTTGGAAGGAAGAGTGTATTGGAAATCACACTCCACTGTAATTCAAGAGCAGGTTTCTTTATAGAGAGACACAGTTGGTGTCAGGCACATGTGGAAAAGAAAAGAACAGGCCTGTAATTTTGGCAGGACAACAAAGGACAGATGTTAAATATACTGACCACAAGATGGCTACGGTAATCACTCATTGACCTGAATTCAGGGTGTTATTTTAACCAGTTTCTACCTGCTCCTTTCTTTCTGCCAGGTCCCCAGTCTGTGTGAAGATCTCCTATCTTCTGTTGACCAGCCACTGAAAATTGCCAGAGACAAGATGGTGGGCAAGGATTACCTTTTGTGTGACTACAACAGAGATGGGGACTCTTACAGGTGAGCTCATACTCGGGAGGGCCATGATGTCAGCCACTCTGCCCTTTCTGGCAGCACAAGGACCTCTGGACTTTGCCAGGCTACCAGCCCACCCACCTGTCTTTCCATTTGTCCTTCTGTCCTCTTCTTTCCTCTCTTCTGCCTCTTCCCCCCTCCTTCCAGCTGTTCATCCCGTCCACCAGCTGAAGCACCTGTCATAAGCATTGGAGGTAGAACCCTTATGCATCTTACCGTCTATGGGAGAGGAACGTTACCAAAACAGCTGCTGCGTTGTAATTCCATTAGCTCTGCAAAGGGCAAAGTCCAGGGTATATAGGTGATGAGGGTCCTGAGGACAGGTTTCTGTGGTTAAGGGATGCTTGATCTGGCTCCATCAGATCTCTGTCCATCCCCATGGTGAGGGCTGTAAACAGCCAGGCTGACGTTAGTCCTTGCCCTGGGAGATACATTTCATCACCTAATAGTCATGCAGCCAGTGCAAAGCTTGTCCAGGGTTTGGGGTTGAATAGAAGATGACTTCCTGAAGGAAGTAATATCTGAGGCAGGTTTTTAAGGGTGGATGGTGATTATTCCTAAGAGTGGGATTCCCTAAGCAGTCTAGTATTTCCATGATGGAATTATTACTCAACACCTTGGAGAATGGAGGAGTATCACAATATGATTTAGGTGTATTAGAGGACACATCACCTGGGCTCAGGCCTGAAGCTTCAGCCTGATGCTCTCACTGAACAGGGCACTGTGTGTCTGGACAGCAAAAGCAGGTGGAATTACTTGAAGTCAGCCAGTGTGGGCTGCAGACCAGCACTGGGGCTTTGACACTTGTTATCTCTGGTCTCTGTAGCATCTTTGTGTAAGCATGTTTGGCATACCGGGCACTGTTCTCAGCCTCTCTTCCATGGAACGTGCAGCCCAGTAAGGAAGCCAGCCAGACTGTAAGCACATGCATAAGTAATATAGGTTGTGAAAGTGTTGCTGGAGAAAACAAAGGACACAGAGAGGAGGAGACAGTGGTTACACAGGCAGAGCTTGCCTGTTAAGTGCGATGTCAGGATGAAAACCTTCAGTGACACACAGGTCTGGGAGAAGAGCTTTCTGTGCGTCAAGGCCCTGGGTGGAGATAAGCTTGCTGGCACTGAGCTGTGAAGGCCAGCGTGAAGAAGGCATGAGGGTGGGAGAGGAGATCAGAGGCATGGCAGGGAGGGCACACAGGCCCTTGAAGGCCAGCCTGATGACTAGTGGGAAGAGTAAAAGAAACAATATATGTAGTGCTAAACAGCACAGAACTTGTATATTTGAATGGCTTAGTTTACACTAACGTTTTATAAGAGACTAGACCAGTGTTTTATGATCATTTTCCCTTCTTGACTTCACACTGAAGTTAGGTAGAAAATATGTGATGGCATAATCTAGGGCAGGGCTGGAGTAGAGATGGGAAGTAGAGGTGTGACTGAGAAGTATGCAGGCTGGTATGCAGATGGGCACAGTTTGGGAGAGATGGTGAAGGGCCCGGGAAGCTGGAAGGTGGGTTACTATTGACAGCAGGGAGGAAGACTCAGGAAGGACCTGCCTTGGGAAGTGTTAAGCTTGAGATGCCTGTTAGACCAAAGAGGGCATGCCGAGTGGGCATGTACCCACAACATGGACCTCCCACAAAGAGGGCTGGGCGGGAGATGAATCACAGAGCTTGTGGTATAGTCCTGAGTCAGATCGAGTTCACAGCGTGGTGTCAGGCTTTGTTTTCCTTGTAAGCCTCTTGGGAAGTGGGTGGAACAACTCTTGGAGAAAAAGTCCAGTGAAGGTGCTAAATGGTCTGACAGCCCAGAGTCACACATGGCCATGGGAAGCACCCTTGGTAGACCTTTGGCTCAGGCTCAGAGAGGGCTTCTTGGAAGAGGTGGTATCAGCATTGTTGTTTTTCTTTTTTTTTCACTAGAAAGCTCAAGGTAAGGCAACTCTGTAAGGCAGCCTATCGAGGGGAGCCAGTGGAAAGAAGGGATCAAGTCCACACTGAGGCTGTGCTCCCCTGGGACCTGTGGTCCTCCAGGGTGGGTGCCCTGTAGAACCTGCCCCTCTCCAGTGGTCCCAGAGGGCTCTGGGGATCTGAGCCTCCTTGTAGAAGAGCATGGGTGTCAAGGCAAACCTGGTCTTTTCTTCTCTCTCCTCAATAGGAAACTTCAAGGTCTTCTGATTTTCCCCACACATTTCTATCCTATGTTTGATCATTTGCTTAAATAAGATCCTTATGGTGTGATCGCTGCCAGCAGCACTGTTTGAAACCTGTTAGCTGAAACAAAAAGCTCTCAGGGGAAAATGAAAGGCCTGACTTTTGAAATCTAAGCACCCTGTCCATCTGTCTTTTCTCAGATGGCCTCCATTTAAGCTCTTAAATGTGTTCTGAATGCCCCTTCCACTAAGAATATTATGGGTAATGTTAGGATTTTTTCCCCCAGCTACAATTACCCCGGCTCCAGGCCTAACGGCTTGAAATGCTGTCGTCTGTGAGCCAGGAGCAATGTGAGTTACAGGCTGCTTGAAAGTTCCAGGCCCTCAGTCTGCAAGAGGATGGGCTCTTGTGTCTCCTCAGGTTGCCTTAAATGAGAGCCAGTTGGGCGGGGGTGGTGGTCCCAGGCCACAGAACAGCAATGGCTGGTCCACTGTGGAAGTGTCTGGCGGATGAGTGTCCTGAGGGGGAGTCTCAAAGCAAGCATGTGGGGATGCAGGAGTTAGGTTCACACACATACCCCCACCAGTAGAAACACCAAATCTCCTTTACAAGTAAATAGTGGTAATGACAGTGGCAGTGGCGTTCGTCCAACAGCATTCATGTCTTTGAAATCCAGTGCAAGTCCTTGAGGTTTTTTTGTTTCTTTGTTTTATAGAAAGTGTCTTGCCATGTTGCCCAACTGGGATCAAACCCCTAGGCTCAGGTGATCTTTAGCATCCTGAGTAATTGGGAGTACAGGCACAAGCTACTGCAGCCAGTTCAGTTTTGGTTTTTTTGAGCTTGTATATCCCTGAGCAGAAAGAACAGAAAGTTACTCTGTCTCTGTGGCCTAGAGGACCACCTGCAGAACTTCCCATCTGTCTTTCCTTCCCTTGCTTATGGTCTCAGCATCCTTATCCAGCAGCCAGCATAGGCCCTCTTTCCAAAGACTTGCAGGCTTGGGCAGAAGAAGGGAAGGATTATAATAGTGTGAGAATTCACATCTGGATGTCTGGGAGGGGCGGGGAAGAGGGAGTGGTCACTTCTGCTTTTGTAGGGGAAGTACAAGAATTTATTTATTCTTTTAGCAATTTATTTTTAAATGAACAAACTTCTGAGTGTCAGGCACTGTTCAGGGGCTGAGAAACCAGTGGAGAGCAAGGCAGGAAAGCCATATTCCTCTTTGAGCTGAAGTTCTAGAATTGGCTATCTAGATTTAAGTTCATTCAAATTAAATAAGATTAAACTGTAGCCCCACGGGCACACTAGCCACATCTCAAGCATTCTGAAGCCACACGTTGGTCATGGCTACCTTGCTGGCCAGGGCAAGTGCAGAACATTTCCATCCTCACAGAAAGTTCATCCATGGGTGAACAAGGCAGGTTCCCGGACGAGAGGCAGCCTGGGAAAGGAGAGGCATCACCTCCTCTCCACACCAGGTTGTGATATGTGTGTGTGTGTGTGTGTGTGTGTGTGTGTGTGTGTGTGTGTGCGCGTGCGCGCGAGTGCAGGCAGACTAGGAGCTAGTGCCAGTCCTGGGGCAGCTGGGGATGACAGAAAGGGGGTTTACCATCCATGCAGAGTCCCCAGTAGTTCTAGTGATCAGGGGCCTGGAAGTGGCCAGCTTGGAAGGAAAGGTTTCTAAGGCTCTTGCTGTAGTGGTCAGCATTACTGCTGCTTGGGGACCCTAGAAGGACACACATGATGACTCTTCACCCATTACACTTTGAGAGTCATCTCTGAGAAAGCTGGGACCTCTGCCCAAGGGCAGCTTACGCTAGTTCCAGACATGATTTGCTGACATAGATGCAATGTGGAACCATCAGTTAACCAGGAGAAGGCATCTGTGTACAGAATTTATTAAAACCAAGAAAGTGGTGATAGTATCTTTTCCCCCCTTAACATTAGTCTTACAATGAAAGGGTCTTTGGAGAATGAAAGTTCAAGGTCCTCAGGGAAGTGGGTAGGGCAGCGTGGGTTTCTGGACAGGAAATATCATGGGGTTCCTACTCAGGAGCATAAAGGTTTTTCCCCAGTTCCATCTTGTCTTTCCTTCTTTTCACTTCTCTCTCACCTTCTTAATTCTCTCTCTGAGTACCCATCCCCAAGAGTCCACCTGCAGGAACTAATGAATAGACCTTTCCCTGTAACCCTCTTCCCCATTCTTTGTGTAACAGTGCTTTATTGATGCAGCACAGTACACTTTGGGAAGTGCAGCACATCTTGGACTGCAGGGCTGGTTCCTGTTACTTCATAGTTGCATGGACAGCCCTCAGCTGTTGGGAAAGCTGCCCTCTGTCCCTGTGGGGTGGTCAGGCATTCTGCTTTTCTAATGGACAGTGAACCCTTGACTTCAGAAATCAATTCATTTGTGAAGACTGGTTGTAACTTAGGTTGGTTAGCTGAAGGCTAGCCTTCGAAGTCTCTCTCCTGTATCCAGGCAGTTCTCAGTGTTCTTAGAGAGACATTGGCCCAGGATTTCTCAATTAACCCCACACAGGAAAGGATGTTATAATGCTCCTTCTAGAACTCTTTAGGGATTCAGTCTGTATCTGAGACCATCTAGAAGCACAAGCGGCCAGCATTCAGATTGTAACTCAAGACTTTGTTCATAAGTTAAAACTAAATGTCCAGTTATAACCCAATTGGTTCGTATGTCAAGACAGTCATGACTTGATGGTTCACTGTAATTGGCATTTCCACTGGACCTAGGTCTCTTGCCTGCTGCTGTAACTGACAGCTCTATTCTTAGACCTTCCTGTGTGAGAAAGTCTTGGGAACAGTTATCTGGAGCCACCAGCAAGTCAGGGAGGAGAGAGGGACATCAGTTGATCACTACAGAGGAAGCTAAGAAAGTGGGAAGGGAAGGACTAGCATTTGTTGAACACTTGCTGTATGCCAAGCTGTGGCCCTGGCACTGGGCATCTTTTCTCTTGGCTCCTCACAACAGCCCTACCGTTAGCTTCATGTCACACAGCTGGTGAGAGAGGCCACTGGGTGCATCCCCCAGTCTCCCTTCTTCTGAGCCCTTGCTCTGAGAAACTCCAGAAAGCCCTCTTGGTTGCCAAGGCCTGAAATTTCTGGGCTGCGGGCAGTGGCTTTGAATTTTCAGGCAGCTGAGGCTCAGGCTTATTGCTCACAAGTCATGTTCCCCTGGAGTGACTCATACGACCTCTCCTTCCCTTCCCTCCAGGTCACCATGGAGTAACAAGTATGACCCTCCTTTGGAAGATGGGGCCATGCCGTCTGCTCGGCTGAGAAAGCTGGAAGTGGAAGCCAACAATGCCTTTGACCAGTACCGAGACCTGTGAGTTCCTTGCTCCTTTTGTCTTCTAGCTCTTGTGGCTTTGATGGGACAGATTTGGATGACAGTGTGACTGAGCCAGTCTCTGCTACATCTATTGCCTGGTTCACCCAACTGATTTTTAACTGGGATCAATTTTGGGAAAGAAAGGCTCAGAAAGATGAAGGTATTTGTCTAAGGCAACTGGCAGAGCCAGGGCTCAACCTCAGATCTGTCTCCAGTAACCTCTGGATTTTCCTGCCCCACACCCTCAGTTCTGACTGGGAGCTCCTGCAGTTCCCCCAGTGCCAGGGCAGGATGAGTCGAGGTCTCATGCATAAGGACTGTGCAGCCATCTCTAACTAACATTTTGTGACTCTTTGACTGGGCTTTGGCCTCTTCTTTAAGAAAGTTTAATCCCAGCACTCGGGGGGACTAAGGCAGGAGGACTGCAAATTCAAGCCCAGCCTGGGCAACTTTGTTACTTAGTGAAAGCCTGTCTCAAAATAAAAAGGCTGGGGATGTAGCTCAATGCAAAGACCATGTTTTCAATCCCCAGTACCAACAACAACAAAAAAGGCATTTATGCCAGACTATTTAGATTCTTTCTGTTCTCCTTTTAATCCTGCCATGACCATACTACCACAAAGATCAGTCACTTACTCACTCTTACAAGGGAAAGCTCCAAGAAGACTATCCTATCCTCTGGAGTGGTGTTTTTTGTTTTGTTTCTTATCAGCAGAATCTCATTTTAAATTAAATTCTACACTGAAAATACAGTGAGCTGGGTATTGTGGTGCACACCTGTAATCCCAGCTACTTAGGAGGCTGGGGCAGGAGGATCACAAATTTGAGGCCAGCTCAGCGAGACCTTGCCTAAAAATAAAAATGAAAAGACCTGGAACTGTTGGGGTGCTAGCATACAGATTCAGTCTCAAATACCACCCCACACCCCAAGTAGTGAGTGTGGGTGTGTAGCAAAGCTGTCAAATGTGCAATCCTAGTTCAATACAAATTCCATCATCGGAACAGGGACCTGCAACCTTTTTTGCTGAAAGGGGCCAAATAGACATTTGAGGCTTTGTAGGCCATGGAAGGCTATTACTATTTTTTTCTTTTTCTCTATATAAATTTTTAAAAATGTAAAAATCACCTCTTAAGCTTTGATGTAAGTGGGATCTGGCTCTCAGTCTGTAGTTTGCCCCCTCTGGTCTAGGATGTAGGCAAGAAAATGGAAATCCGAGAAACCAGGCATCTGAACATCTGAATCTGTTGTCAGAAAAGGAGGTGCAGGACCTTCAAGGCAGGCTGTTGGGATGTACTGAGCAGCAGCGCTTGCTCTAACACGCTTAATAAGAAGTGGCTTTTGGAAGTTTGTGAGGCAAGGAGGCACTTCTTGGCCTGACACAAAGCCCCGTAACATTGCACAGATGAATGAGATACACAGCCATAGTGCTAAGGGAGCCGTGACTGAGTGGCCCTGAACATTTCAGGAGCCCCAAGTGTAACAGTATAATACAGTTTGTTTTCAGTACCTTCTCATGTGCCAGTATTTTATGTGCAATATCTTTAATCCTTAAGAGAACTTTTGGGGAACATTGTTTCATCCTCTGTGTTACAGACGAAGAGACTGAGGTTCCGGGATATGAAATGACTCATAAAGAACAACAGGGAATGGAGGCAAAGAGTTGAATTTGAATCCATATTTGCCTGAAACTTCCACAAATTGTTGATTTCAGTTAGAATAGGTTTCACTGCTTAAAGGTCCTCACAGGGCTGGGGAGTTAGCTCAGTGGCACCACACCTGCCTTGCAAGCACAAGGTCCTGAGTTCGATCCCCCATAACAAAAAAAAGGTCCTTACATCTCAAACCTGTTGTAGAACTCCTTCCCCGCTGACGCTGACAAGATGGCTCACTGCTCTAACATAGTTTATTTATTGTTGCCTTGGCAACTAGGCTCAGGCAAAGTCCCTCTGGGGAGGAGGTGTCCCACACCACACCACCTCAGGCCTGTTGGCTGTTGAATAAGGGCCAGGAAGATGGCCTGCATCTCAGTGCTGATGGGGCATGCTCAGGTCCTCAGGCAGACCCATCCCTGTTAGAAAGAAAAGGCACCACCTCCAGAGCAAGATTAGTACAACATTGTTTGCTGGAGGACCGGGTAAGTGAGGCTGGTGCTCCCAGGCAAGAGCAGATCCACATCCAGTGCAGACCCATCTTTTAATTTCTGACAATCCTGGTGTTTCAGAGTTGTTGGATCTGTTAAATTGCAGCATTAAAACTGTGTTTGGCTTGTACCTCTTGACCACCCATGGATCAAATGACTGAAAGCTGCCAGACTCCAGCCATCTCTGGGGTCACTGCTCTTATGGGGTATGCTGGACTGCTGTGAACTTTCAGGGAGCTTCTGGTTTGTGACCTAAACTTCTCTGTATACTGGGAAGGCCACACTGGGCTTGCTCACCAGAGATGTGACACACACACACACACACACACACACACATCAAACGAAGACAGAGGCCTCAGATGCCTTGCCCTTGCCAACAGCAGACCTGGCCCTGCAAGCACTGGGTTCCCTCTCTGGTCATAACCCGTGAGCCCTTTAGCCTTGTCTTTCCTTCCTCCTTGAGGTGCTTAAAAGATGAGTAGAAGGAGATAGCAGTGAGTGTGAGGAGGTCTGAAGCTGAAACAAGATCCAGGCCAGGCAACCCACCAGATATACGGAGTACTCAGTGTCCTCAGAAGGTTCCTGCCACAAAAGAGAAAATTCTATTCACAAGACCCTGAGGGAAGGCTGCATTCTATCTTCAGGCCCTGGCTTTGATACCTAGGTCTTTAAAGGCTTTGACTTTGCAGGGAGTAGGAGTTAATCACATGCACATGGAATCAGTATGGCCCAAGTGATGGGGCTGGGGCCAAGATGGCTGGCTTGCAGGCCCTCTGGCTTCTGACTACTGTAGGGGTGTGGCACCTCACCCCCTCTGGCCTGTGCACAGCATTTCTGAATTATGGACTAAAAGGGCCAACAGTTGAAGTGTGGCTTTTCCCCCACCATAGGCAAAAGGTGAGTAGAGGTCCAAGGAGCTGAGGTGTGTGTCCTGCACAGTTCCCTTTGAAGTCTGCCAGTTCCTAGATTTCCCTGCAACACCTAACTCCTGTGCCACACACACACACACACACACACACGCCTCCCACGTGTACCAATTCTCTTCTTTGCCATTCTGAAGCAGCTTAAAGGGATCTACAAGTCCTTTTCCCATAAGACTGTCAAATAGCTATTGATAGCACTACCTAAACAGCTCAGTTTTTAGATTAAAGTGAGCCACGTCGCTGAGATTGCCTGGAAGATGATAGGCCCATTTGCTAGAGTGCTGGGGCTGGGTAAGGGCATTACCTACCCCAAGTCATATTGAATTTTGCCACTTCTACCGGCTCACCGGTACCTTGGCTGTTCTCATCCCTCTGTCCCAAGCCCAAGGGGATTTCCCTGATTGATTAATAGCTCAGGCTCGGTATAGGAACCATAAGCACTGAGGTGGGAAAGTCAGGAAAGGCAGCAGAGATGGCAAACTCATGGGTGACTGGCCTGTGGGTTGCTCCACATTCTTTTTTTTTTTTTTGGTACTGGGGATTGAACTCGGGACCTTGCACTTGCAAGGCAGGTGCCAGAACCACTAAATCCCTGGCTCCTCCACATTCTTTCCCAAGAGAGTTGATGCTTTGCTTTTTTTAGGTCCATCCTAGTCTAGCTCATCCGTCACAAAACCTCATCACTGGACCCAAGAGTCCATTTTTTTCTGAGGAGGTATCTAGAAGTAGAGCCTCAGATGCAGGCAGGCACTCGAAGCTGCCAGGGAATTAGCTTGCTTAAGGGCAGGTTGAGCCACCATAGGTGCTGGGAGCCCCAAGGGCAGCACCTTGACTCTTGAGGTCTCTAGAGAAGATGATAAGCTCTTCCTGCTCCATCTCTCGTGTTGGGCTGCGCCTGGCCTCTGTCAGCCTGGGTTGCGAGAGAGACCAGATGTTCTAACGAAAAGGGCTGGCACCACTCTCTTCCAAAGATGATCAGTCCCATCTGCGCCAGACATCTTGTCCCGTGCTCCGCAATCCTTGGCTCTTGGCTTGGAGCAGATAATACCTTCAGACATGCGGTTGTAATTTATTGGCCTTATAAGTTAACGTTAGTGGGTGTGCAATTGATTGAAATCAAAACTTAATGAAGGCCAGAGTCTAAAGGGTGGAAAAGCAGGGTGAGAAGGCATTTTGTGTTCTTCCTTGTTTGGGGCTTTAATTAGCTTTTCTAATCAACCCTCCTTGTCTGGAAGAAGTTTACAGAGTGCAACAAGACGGGTGTCCTTGTGGCAGTCCCAGAAGCCCATGGGCCTCTGTAGGAGTAGCCAGGATACTTGGTAGATGGGCCTCTCCAGGCTTTCTGTCTGTTCTCCCCTTTCTGGGACTGCATTAGATTGTGGCTGTTTTCACACCTTCCACTTTCCATCTGTATAATCTGATGACATTAGAGCAGCTGTGGTCCAGGAAGGGCAGGACAGCCACAACTGTGTGTGAAGTTTGGTACCTTGGTGCCCTGGGTCCCTGAAGCTGCACGGCCCAGCCCCAGGCCCTGGGCTCTTGGCCACTCCTTCCTCTGAACATGGGCACTGAGTGTTTCAGTCCTGTGGGGAACTGCAAGTAGCAGGGAGACCTTCTAAAGAAGCCCTGCAGAAGTGTGGGAGTAGTCACTGGGATCCAGGGAGGGCCCCCCAAAGAGGAGGCAGCCAGAGTGAGTCTGGGGCCAGGCCACAGAACGGGGAGGACCTTAGCCTTAAGAGGGATATGAACTTGGTTGTGTAAGGTAGCTTCCATGAGCCGGGGGCGCTCAGCAAGGTACTGTGTTGAGTCCCCTGCTGCTGCAATCCTCACATCTGTGCAGCATCCTTGGGCTGCTAGGCTATCAGCCTCATCCTGATGATGCAGCAGTTACCTATATGGATGTCTCCTCTGTGTTTGTGACAGTGATACTGGG